CAGGGAAAAAGTCTCATTGTGACGAGTAAAGTGTATCTTGCCTTGCTGGGCAGCTCTCTGGGTGCTCAGCACCCCCAAAGCTCTGAACCTAGAATCGCCCCTGCTTGTCTTCCTTAAAAAGAATTGTTAAAATAATGTTTCTGGTCACAGTTTTGTGGTCTGTTTCAGGAAGAGTTTGTTCAAAATAAATAGTTGCCAATGTTTGAAATTAGTTTGGGGCTTATTTTTTATTACTGTATTTTTTATGTTGATACAAACCAGGCATCAGAGATTCAGAGCAAGGTATCAAAATGAAGTACCGCTGAGTATCAGTACCGAACACCAAGTACCGGTACCGATATCGATTATCAGTGGTCAAAATAAAATTTTCCATTTTATTTAAGATAGGGCCCTGATATTACAGATACAATGGAGTCAGGTGAAAGGCCATGAATTAAAAATCCTGTAAAACAGATGGCAAGCAGAGGGACGAGTTTCCTACTCGTCCACATGCCTTATTGACCTTTAGACTCTTAACTGCATCATAGACCTCTTGTGGAGAGACTATCACATCTTCATTATTTTCAGTGTTATCCACTACAAAGGGGTAACTTTTAACACAGTTGAATAGCTCACAATAATGTAACATCTGAGTAATTTCCTCTGAACCATTTGCACCATCAATATTAGCTGGCAAGGGTGTTTTAGAATGACAAATTTTTTAAACTTCTTTCCAGAAATCATTTACATATTTCTTTTGCAACTTCCTTGCAAGTGTATTTGACCTCAGGGTGTCTTCATTCCTTTTAATAAAACGTAATATTTAAAATTGGCGTTCATCTATTTCTTATGATCAAACAGAGGACCATGTTTTTGCCAGCCTGCCTCAGCCCAATCCTTAAAGGCCCCTCTAGCCTCCGCATGGAGCTCTTCAACATATCCATCCCACACTGGTTTGGCTTTATACCTCTTGGTCTTACACAGAAACCTGCTTGAGACAAGAAGGGACTACATCACATTCTCATACAGAGAGCACAACGCAACCCCATGTTGAGGGTTTTTGCAATTAGTGTCACAACAGGCAGCTGCCTCTTTTGGGAGCTCAATCTTACCCAGCAAGTTGTCAAACTGAGCCAGGTATGCTATACAGTCCACCTCTGATAAATTAGACCAGTCTATTTTCCCCTCGCACATGTCAGTATTCACACACAAAACTGCAGGTACATCACCCCAATACATTGTTAAAGAAACGGGATATGATCAGTAGTGGCAAACTCATAATTAATCCTCATGGACTCTGTGGTATTATGTGCATCTGCTGTACTGACGCAGTGATCCAGTGAAACAGACCATTATCAGAGCAGCACTGCAACAAATGATTTGAAAATAAGGAGTTGCCATCGGATACATCCGCATTCATATCACCCACAATAAAAACACATGTGGAAGCATTGTCCTGAATAAAGGTCATAACATAAGCCAGTCTGTTGAGATATACATCTTCATTCTGGGGACAATCATAAGGAGTGTAGATATTGAGGATGATGACGTTTTTATCTTCGCCAAAAAATCCAATTCCTATAGCCCAGTCAACATTCAGTCTGACCACCTTAACCAGCTGATCATACTTTTTATGCCAAAAAACGGCAACACCACCAGGTATTCTGCCACTAACTATTCTGGAGCTCAGATCAGTGGTAGATTCACCTACTCCATGGAAGACTTTATGCGGAAAGTTCAGATTTTCTAGATCTTGTTTTGGTAAAAATGTCTCTTGACCACACAGAATATCACACGACTCCAAGAGTTTATTCACAATTAAACGGCGTGATTTATCAGCTCCACTCTGCCCTACAGGGAGTCCTCACACATTATACGAGCTAATTTTGATATTCAATTATTTTTGCTTGCCTCCAACAACCATCTGGTAGCTGCTCCCCTGCAGGGCGACAAGTGTGTGAGATTCCAAACACTGCCGTTACGTATCAGTCCTACCTCTAGGAGTGCCGACCCCGCTGCCACTGCCTTCTCTAGGCCCGTGGGCCTCAAAGTATCGGCGAAAATAGATCCCCGCTGGCCAGAGTTGAGGATTATACATATAAATTACTCCTTCACATTCCGCAGTGACGTGAAACGATCCATATTTTGCTGCTTGTGACAATCCTCCGACATGTCACTTATCCAGTTTCTCACTCAAGTATGAGCTTAAGATTTCCGCATCAAGATCAGGAGAAAATCTCGTTGCAAAAATACTCACTAACTTGGTTTTCACCACCGGAATATTGTTGTCAGAGCCGGTACCAATTACACCAAATTTCCTTTGTTGATCACATTGTAGACGGGATGGGAGAACTCCGTCACTGGGCTGAGCTGCTACATTATGAAGTTTCTGGGGTTTACGCTTTCCTTTCCTCTCTATAGTGCTCCACACTGGGCACTGCGGCAAGTTATCCAAGCCCTGTTCGTGTGACTGATGAGCAGGTTCCATTGGCTCCCGAGCGTCCTCCTTCTGCAGCAGGTGTTCCGCAGAGCCTCTCCACTGCCGTGATCCAACGATCCTGGACACCTCTAAACTCAGCTGCTCCATTCTGCTGAGTAAGGCAGAGGCATTCATGTTGCCAAACTCCACAGGTGGAAGTTCATCCAGGTAATGCGACACAAATCTACGAATATTTTCGACGCACTCATTAAGCACCCTGAGACAGTCTTTGATGTTGTTCACATCCTTTTGAGGACCTTTATGTTTAACGCAACGTATGGAAGTCATGCACATCTCAAACAACAGCCGCTTGGACTCCTCAATCCATTCGGAAGAGAAATTGTTTGAGGCCAGTAAAACAACCTCGTCCTGAGACAGGGTTCTCATCTTCACAACAATAAAGTTCAAGAACTCATCCTTCACTATCACTTTGCCATCTGTCGTTTTGTAGCTAAAAATCGCAGATTTAGTTTGGGTATTTGCAGCACTTCCAGCACGCACTTCCGCACCCACGGCCATCTTAGTTATTTTAAATAAAACACCCTAAGCATTTCTACAACAAGAATCTTGTTTTGTTATTTTTGATTTACGCGATCATTGTTTTTTGTTATTGCTTGTCAAGACTCCACACAGTTGTACCAATGAAGAAGAACGTCTGCGGAGAAGAAGAATGCAGAGAAAAATAAACGTGGTTGCATAGGTGAGTCGGAAAGAGGAGGGAGAGGGAGATGGAAAAAAATCGAGACAGTGTGGGAGCACTACACCGAAAAAGAAAAAAAAGTTGAACGCAGATTATGCAAAGCGGAGCTTTCTTTTCATGGCAGCTCCACCATGACGCATCTGAGACTCAAGCATCCTGGAGCTGTGATGCCACCGTCTCTTGAGAGGTAAGTTTTAGCGACTAAAGTTAGTGTCACGTGTTAACGTCAATGTTTGTACTATAATGTGTATATCAAGGTTTCGACAATGATAATTAAGTGAATATAATTTCGGTTATGTATGCTAACGTGTTTGGAGCTATAGTAAACGAGTGAATAGGAGTATCTGAGCCGTCCTAGTTTTTTTTCCTTCTTTTTTCGTGTAATATTTGGGTTCATATGATCAGATGGATTCCATAAGAAATGTAACGTAATCTGAATACTTTGGGATTAATTCAAAATCATTTACTGAAAATGATGCACATCATACTAAAGAAATTAACTCAACCAAAAATATATATTTAACAAATACATAAAATTACACAAGAAAGTGTTTCAAAACATCTTTTAAATTAGACGTTGATGTCTTTGCGGTTGAAAGTTTGCTGTATTTTTGGTCTGCGCAAAATTGCAATTGACATTAATATTTTTGTCCTGTATGTTTATAAACTTGAAATGATGGTGATATTGCCAGGAATGGTAGGCTGTTTTTCCAACGGGCACTGAACTGCTGCGGCTGCTTGAGTTTTCCATCTTCATCTTCTATGTCCTCCAACCATTGCAGTTTGATTCATAAAAAAACAGTGAAATTGGCTGAAGATTTACCTCTAGTAGCTACTAGTTCGCTTCAAGTTGATAAAGTAAATATCATTGGAATATTGAAAAAATAACCATTTTTTAAATAATCAAAATGTAATCAAGTAATCCTTGACAATGTAACTGTAATCTGAATACACATTTTTGCCATGTAATCTGGTCTGATTATAGTTACATTACTCTTACATTTTGCAATCTGATTACATAATCCAGATTACATGTAGTCAGATACTACCGAACTCTGAATATAATATATATACAGTACTGTATATAAAATATATATATTTATAAATGTATATAATATATATCACATATGTAAAATGTATATACGCTCACCTAAAGGATTATTAGGAACACCTGTTCAATTTCTCATTAATGCAATTATCTAATCAACCAATCACATGGCAGTTGCTTCAATGCA